TGCCTCTAATCTTGCCGTATATTCTCGGAAAATTACAATTTTATGACGAGTAGTTTCTTCGATGATAACACTTGGTCCCTTTAACAAATTATAATAATTATACTTTTCGATGGGCTCTCCAAATACCGACATTCTTGATGTAATTGTCGATGGCTGTATAAGATGATATTCTCATGGTTTTTGAAAATATAAATATTCTAATTTATCTAGCCTTGAGTGGCCGTTGATTTACGTACAAGACAACACACAACTGTATCAACTGTATACGGTACATGATAGCAAATTCGTTAACATACGAGGCTGTGTACAAACGCATTACCGTTACGTGCATACGCGCAGATGACGTCATCAAGTTTCAGTCTATCTCAAAACATAGGCCTATATTAAATCTAAAAGTACGAACTTTGCGTCATCCCAAAGAAGTTATTTGATGAGGATTATGATAAATCAATGTATGTTCGGTTAGTTATTGCTTTCAGAAATAATATGTCAACAATTATCGGTACTAATTGCCAATTATTGTGTAAGCTCTTATTTAATTAATTATAAATCTGCACAGTGTTAATATTTTCTTTTTCCTAGCTGCAATTGTTGAAACCGAGAAATTGTTAAAGATAAATAACATCGTCCATTTAGTCAGATTTGTCACAATAATCCAACTATTAAGACATAAAGAGAATGTATTATGGTTATCAACCAACTAACCAAAGCTTAAATTGTTTTGAACTAAGATGTTCTGAGAGCGAATTTTGTCACCTGACCTATATACGGATCGAACGGAAAAACTGTAGGCCTACCAACGAAGTGATTCAGTTAAAATGAATTATACGCTAGCAACCAAAACTTTAGGTAGTGTGGAGGTAGTTGTGTTGCTAAGGAAAATTTCCAATTCTTTTTATTGGTTTAATCTAACCCCATCCATACTCATTTATTGTATTGTAGTAATGATTAATCATATAGATGAAGTACAAAATTACTGACCAAATTAGTTCAATAATTAATCACCCCACCTTTTTTATTGTCGGCTGCTCTTTGTACGCCCTCAAGGACTTGTGGTAAATTTTATTGGCGAGTCTAAACAACTTTGATAATCGAAGTGATAACGGAAGTCTAATTGACCTGCTAAATTTTCAATATCATTTGTGATAAGGTAAATGTCATTTTTCTTTTGGTTTTATAGTATGTATAATTTGTAATAATAGGCATAATAATAATAATAATAATAATAATAATAATAATAATAATAATGATAATGATAATGATAATGATAATGATAATGATAATGATAATGATAATGATAATGATAATGATAATGATAATGATAATGATAATAATAATAATAATAATAATAATAATAATAATAATAATAATAATAATAATAATAATAATAATAATACAGGTCTCCCTACAATTAAAGACCTCTCCAATTAAAGACCAATTTTCAGTGAACTAGTTTCAATTCCTATCTTTTAACATTAGATGTTCCCTCCAATAAAGACTCCCTCTATTTACCGACCAACGACCATGGTTTTGGTGGACTAACAATGACAATTTTTGCTCCTATTAATGACTACTATGAAATAAATAGTGATCCTGATGATGACATAATTAATGTCGAAATATTGAATCCCAACACGATGGCGTGTATTTCAATACTTGGAGTATGTATTATACTTTCATAAATAGTGATGTTAATGCTATTGTTTCTGTAATACATTTGGTTATAAGGCTTAAAACATGAAAACATTAGCCAATGCACATCATAAGATGATGCTTTGTGTACTGAGTAAACAAGGACTTATAAATGTTAACAGTCTTTGGAATAATAATATATTAGTGGTGATGTTAGTAATATTTTAATGGAAAGTTGCTTAGAACAATTACAGGAATTGATGTCTGGCTATTAAAGAAATCTTTTATTAAGTATAAATAACAGCATGCAGTAACTGTTCATCCATTCTAAATCATTTAATTAATTATTTATTAATTTCTACTGAAAATTGACAACCGCAATTCTGCATTTTGACTCCATATAAAACGGTTGCATGTTTGATGCCAAGCTGAATAAGACGTGAAAATTACCCAGAATGCAATTTAATATGACTGAAATGACTTTAAGAATAAAAGCTTTAGCAACAACATTTGCGCCCGACTACCAAGACACAAAAAACACAAAAAAAACAATGATGATTTCTCCTATCAAAATAAAATCTCATGTAGGTATTCAAATAAAACAAGGCTGAACTATTGTTCTAACTTAACAGAAGGGAATATTTTATTGTACTGTATTGAGAACAGAAGTTTAACATTTGTTTTACTGATTGCTTCTAAAAATAAAATAAAATATCATTATAATATCATGTACGTCACTGGAATGGTGGAACATCGACATTTCTGATCATTACTGAAGAACTTAATAAGAATATGTCCAACGGTAAAATCATGTAAGAGGCCTAAATTAATGACATGAGAAGTATTTTACAAAATCTGATAAAAATTAATCTTTTCAACAATTCTACTAGGCCTAGTACTAGACACATAGGCCTATCCACTGACTAAGTCAAATTTGGCCGCTAGTTATGTTGCGTATAAAACTACCCCACGAAGGACGGTTCTTTGGCGTTCCCGGCACTGTATTAGGCATACCAGGGAACAGTTAAATTACAACTGTTCCCTGGCATTACAACAGAACCGTTTTGTAATGGGACGGCGGCAAAAAGAATGGTTCTTTTTTTGGGTCCTGTTTCTACAGCCACAAAGAAAGGTTGTTTCTGTCAGTAGAAACAGGCCCTTAGACACCAATGGATAATTTTGGCAGAAAACTGAAAATTTTCCCCTTACGGACTACTTTTTAAAAATAAAAATGGTAATTTTAGTGAAGATGTGTATACATGCTCCATATTGAATACCAATTGTGTTACTAGGACATTAAACATTTAATGTATAATATGGTTTTGGCAGATCTAACTAAACTTAAAAAAAAATCTCTTCAAATAAATATAAACTACAGACTTTAATGCAGTTTTAAAAAATAATTGTTATAATATGACTATACACATCAAAATGATACACAACATAAGATGATTTTTTGTGTATACAATGCTATTGAATACCTATACTGATAGTTTTAGTAGAACGATGGTGTTTGTAATTGTAATGGAGATTTAGATATCAGAACGAGCGCATGACTTTGTGTGCATACCAGAAATGGTTTGGTAAGAATTAGTAACGACATACAGTAAATGTAGATTCATTTTAAAGCACTTGGAATAAAACGCTCTTATATTTGCTATAAAGTTTCTTAATTTCCCTGTAATTTTTAAGACCACTTTTAGTGCCAGTCTTTAATTAGAGGGGTTCTAATTAAAGACCACCAAAACCCCGGTCACAAACTGGTCTTTAATTGGAGGGAGACCTATATTAATATTGAATGAATGAATGAATGAATGAATGTAATGAACGAACGAACGAACGAAAGAAAGAAACAAAAGAATGAATGAATAAACGAACGAACAAAAGAATGAATGCGAAAAAAATAAATAAAAAGCAACACAAGACAGGAGGATTATGTAAAGGTAAATTGAATAATAGATTATAAGTGTATCATTAAAAATTCTGTTTACCTTTCTGACTATCTCTTAAATATTTCAGTTTATATTTCGTAATCATTGACAAATTCATTTGCATTGTATACAAGTTTGAAGTGGGCTTTATTCCTTCTTGGAATCTCACACTAGTTACGTTTTAGCATAATCACGAAGCTCTGTTTTATATCTCCATCTTATATCTTAAGATTAGCGTTGCGCCATACAATACGTTTAGGTGTTTTGTAGTTAGTGTGTTATTGTATAATTGTATATATTTACGGTTGTCCATCAATAGGAAATAATTACTATTCTGTTTATATAACTGATAAAGCTAATAGCCTCGCTAATAGTCTTCCTCAATATTTGAAAGATTTATAGCATAATGCATTTTAAGCGATATATTGAACAAGAACTAGGCATATTAAATCTGTATGAAATATTATTATTTTTGATACGCATATATCATTGTGCATGTATAGGCCTATATGTATACGTGATATAAATATTGTTTGTTTTGTTTGTTTATTGAAATTTTTCCACACTTAAATAATACATTGACAAAATGAATTTCATTTATAAAATGAACAGATAATAATATAACAGTATTTAGACTAAAAATTAAGGATGACAATTCATATTCCATCAATAATTATAATTAAACGTAGAACTGAAAATATGATATGTGTGGATGGAGTTCAATAGAAGTTCAATGAACTTTAAGCAATGAACACCAGTAAAATATATTAACAATAACAAATTTGGAGTACAACGTAAATGAAATATACCAAAAATAATGAAAAAAAAAGAAAAAGGTTGGCGAATCGGAAAATTAATCCCTCGTAAATAGGCGTAGAGAAAAGCGTGACATAGATGTATACGCATACAAGGAAATTAATGATTTTTTTTTATAATTGAATTTAAAGCTGGAAATGGAGGGCTTGTTTTGTAATGGTACTTATGTGTACACTAATGTGTGCACTATGTTCTATTTGTTCTGTTTACTGAATCATGAAATTCTCACTTTATACCATCTAGCTTTTTCTACCCCCACTCACTCGCGACAGAGGAAGGACTAGTGTTGTCCGAAAGCTCTGGTTCTATTTCTGGCTGTTTACTTACGTTAACTTTTTAGCTGTTGCTTATCGTTTTTGTATCTCTACCGAGATCCAACCATTGTTTCCCACAGCATTGTTGTTTTTCAGTATTTTGCCTTTTAATCTATATATATATATGAGTATATACATACGATTGTAAGTTTATATTTCTGACTTTGTTATTTTCTATCAATACGTCAGTCAGTATGTCAGTCAATCCATCGTTCACTCAGTCAATTAATCAATCAATCAATCAGTTTGTCAATCAATTAATTGGCGAATCATTTGAAAGTCGGATTGAAATTCACTGACAAATAAATAAATTCCTTTGTTTGTATTTATTTTCTCAAATTCATTATGTTAATTTTATTTATTCACCATCAAAAAGCTTTTATAAAATATACACATATTATTAGGTATTGTTAAAGTTGTAAATCCGCTTTGATTGGGAATGTCAGTGGTAATGTTCGTTGCCTTCACGAGACGACCATTACAGGTAAACGCACTGTATGAAGCCATCGATAAGAACAGCCATCGTCGCAAGGAAAACACTGAAATTTAAGAACAATAAACTAAAAAAATTAGATATTCATTTAATATGATATGTTAATATCATTGAGCAGCCTATAATGTGTAGGCCTGTGTGTAGGCCACTATGGTAGTTATGGTCTGTTGGTTGGGGGAAGGGGGGTGCTATCAGAGTTTTAACTTTCTAAAACATACATCCTATGGACTTGTAGAAGAGGACAATGAAATACTATAGACCTGACTAAAGTATTTCACTAATAGAGGCCTAATAGAGAATAACATGCAACGATACTTATATTATTTTCCGGTTGTATTTTGTATAAATACACAATGATATCTGGGATAATTGGGATGTCACAAAAATAATTACACGATTACGGAAGCCCAACAACCGAAGGTTTGTCATCTATTATGAATACAAAAACTTACTAGGTGATATTTTAGTGGCCTTTAGTGCATCTATAATAGCTGCATTTTCCTTCGCAACAGTCGGAGTCGGAAAAACACTGCAGTAAAGAACAAAATCACAATTTAAATCAGTTTAACATTTTATAAATTCAACTGTTATGCATACTGAATAGACTGAATACAATTTCTTGTCATTAAAAAATAACAGAAGCACTTACTGATGCGCCTGACACTTTGCAAGCAGAGCACTTGTTATTCTTGCAGTTACCATCGCAACAGTCACTGTTAGAGTTACACTAATGATTAAAAGTCAAAAAGTTAGTTTTTCTACATCTAAAAAAATATTCGCAAGGTAAATAGCTTTTTTCATTCTTACATTGATTTTTTAGCTTAAGTGATAATCATGTTCATTTTCTGTAGTCAAGTCTAACGCGTATCTTTTTCAAGCTCCGGCTTACAGTAAGTGACGTCATTTGTATCGTTATGCAAGTGAAATAAAACTGAGACTTGGGAGACGTGAGACTTGATCAATTGAAATGGTAATGTTTTATATATATACATACATATATATATATATACATATATATATGTATATATATACATATATATTTACATATATATATGTATATATACTGTATATATATATATATAT